CAGCTCCAGTGATTCCAAGAGAATTTCCTCCTCCTCTCTCCTACAGGCCAGAGTCTCAGCTGTGAAGGGTCCTATGTGGCAGTGCCAGAAGCTGAGGTGGACCATCGTGGTCTGAAGGAGGTCACTGCCATGCTGGAGGTGCCACACTGGTATGAGTGGGAGTCCCAGCTTCCATCCTTTGGGCAGCACGTGCAGGGCACAGGCTGCTTTCCTGTGGAGCAGAGTCTGTGCTCCTGGAGCTGAGTATCTTGGGTGGGAACACAGCCCGGCCTTTGCTGTGGGCTGATGGAGCAGCACTGGAGCAGGGTGAAGCCCCTCAATGTCCCCCATACGCTGGCAGCACAGCCAGGAAGTGTTGGAGAAGGGAAAGGAGCAGTACAGATCCTTCCAAAGGCTGGTTGTGCTGGAAAACAAAACAAAGGACCTGCAAAAGAGACCCAGCTCTTGGGACTGGAGTGGGAAGATGGACGTTGTCACATCCCTGTGCATGTGGTTAATAATATGATAGCCAGGTCCCCACCAGCTACCAAAGGAGCAGCAGCAGCTTCCCTGGGCATGGTGTGTTTGTGGGTTGCAGGCAGCTCCTGCTGTGGGGGAACCCAAAAGAGTTGCTTCCCATGGGACATCCTGGCAGGCCCTTGGATGGATCCCATGGGAGATGGTTGGGGTGGTCTGCCCTTGGGCCACCTGGCCAAACCCAGCTGTGAGGAGCCTCTTGGGAAGCCTGATGGCCACCTCCAGGCTTTGGGAATATTTCAGTGGGTTATGTCACAGGATTGGAGTGGGTCTGGCTGGGATGTGGTGCAGGGCTGTGTTCTGGATGGGTGAGGGAGCTCTGATGGTTTGGGTACTGCTGAGCAGTCCTTGCACAGCATTCAGAGACTCTTCTCTGCCCCTCTTGAGGCAAGAGGCTGGGGTGGCAGGAGCCTGGGAGGGAGCAGGGCTGGGACAGCCACCCCAGCCAGCCACTGAGCTGTTGATGCTGTGTGCGTCATGCCTGATGATCAAACTGGGGCAGAGGAAGAAGAAAGAGTGGTTTTGACTTCCAGGGTAGTGTGTTTTGAGCCTGACTGAGCCTCTGTCTGCCTGTGGGAGGATGTGAGTGACTGTTTGGGCTTTGCTTTCTGCAGGAACGGGTGGCTTCTGAAGGCCTGCTAGACTGTCTTCTCTTAATTCCTGGGTTTTACTTCTTTTCTCTCTGGGGAGGCAGGGGGAGTGAGTAGCTGTGTGAGTGCGTTAAGTGTATATAAAGATACACCTAAGTATGTATCAAATTTTATTTATGTTTAAGTAACTAGCTTTTGTTGCTTTTTTTCTGGGTGCTTTCATACCTGAGATAGCCACATAGTGCTTTCTGTCAGTGTCTTACTAATCCTTAACAACACTGATGGTATGTTTAGCCCACGCAGTGGCTGGTTGTGTGCATCAGGTTGGAGCTCAGCTCTGGTTTCCACCAGGGTCAGCAGCAGGACAGAGCCTGGGGGCAGTTGCTTGGAGTTGGAGCCCCCTGAGTGCCTGGGCAGATCTGAGGGAAGGAAATGGAGCAGTTATTCCCTGTCAGTGAATTCCACAAGTGTTCCTGACTGCAAGGATGGGGAGCATTCAGGAGCTGCCAGGCAGTGATAAACACCTGAGGGAGCTGCCTTTGCACCAGGGTGGGCTCCAGCTCTAGGGCTCTTGTTCCTAGTATTGCCAAGGAGGAAAATACAGAGAGGCAGGAGGGAATGACACGTTTTCATTTCAGATTTCTGCTGGCCTGTCTTTAAATTGGTTCTGTTGGGGGGTTTGCTTTTCTAGAGGTGCTTGCTGGGTGTTGATGAGGCGTGTAATAGGGTGCATGTAATAAAATGGTGTTTGTTGGAAATGTAGTTGTCTGTTCAGGGAGCTTTTGTAGGTTTGAAGGAAAGCAAATGATCTGGTTTCCTTTTCAGGCTGTTGTAATGTGTGTAGTTGATCTGATATCTCTAAGGAAGAAGTGTATCAAACTTGAATTTCTCATATTTGGAGTCTGGAATTTGGGTTGCTGGAGTTGGACCAGCAAGGATGGAGGAGTCTGGTTCACATGCAGTTAATGTTTTTTGTCCTACCGAGCTGGCCTTTGGAGGAGCTGCAGGTGTTCAGGCAGTGGCTCCCTGTGGTTTATCTCCCTGCTGATCTTGGCTTGGTGGTGTGAGGCCAGTGTAATTTTGTCCCTGCTCTGGCTAGGATGGAGTTAACTGGTTGCATTGAGCCAGATTGGTCACGCTCTGCTGTTTTGGCTGTTGCTGGGCAGTGCTTGCACTTTTTGTACTTCCTCTATCTCATACCATGGGCTTTATCAGTCTTTCTGTCCTGTGGAGAAGGGGTGCAGCACTGGGGGGCTGTGTGGGTGCTGGGCTGCTGGCACCTTCCCAGTCACGTTTCTGTCAGGGCAGGCAGTGGGATCTGTCTGGGCTTCCTGAGTTTCAGCAGCCAAGTTGTCCTTCCAGGGACTGCAGGAGGCTGGATCTTCAGAGGTAACCTTCTCCTGAGCCTAAAGAGAGCAGCTTCCATGTTCTTGTGAGGCTTTCTTGCCAGACCTGTGACCCAGTCCTCTGGTTGTGTATGTGGTTGGTTTGTGTGTTGCACTGCTGACTGCAAGGGATCTGCTGGTGGTGAACAGCTGCCCACTGAGGGGGGACAGCTTCAAGATGGAGGTGACATTTTTATATCACCTTTAGCACCAAGAGCTTGAACTCGCCAGTATTCCTGATCAGGGTTGCATTTCCCTTTTTCCACTTGGCAGATTCTCCAAATCTGCCTGTGTCCACTGCTTTTGACTGTTGCTTCCTGTACCTGTAGGAGAGGGGAATTTTGTGTGTATTCTTAGTCAACTGTCAGTGTTGGTGACATCCTTCTCCTGGTCTCTGCTTAGGTGGCCTCAGCTCTGCACAGAGGTACTCTGCAAGCAGGCTGCAGAGAGTTTAAAAATGCAAACCAGTGACTGGTGGCTGAGCATGCACTGGGGCTGGCAGGATTTCACAGACTGCCAGTCTAACCATCAGAGTGCTCCCTGCTTCCTGCAGGACAGCCAGAGACCTCATGGGCATTGGGAAGAGGTGATCTCACTGCTCCCTGCAAGGGCTTCTCAGTGTTTTTGAGTTGCTGTCACCCACTGATGTCACCTATCTATCAAGAACCCCTCCCTATATTTTTATTTAGGATTTTTTCTACCAGTCTCAGTAGGTTTTTTTCCTATTGAATCATGGAATTGTAGAATGATTTGGGTTGGAAGGACATTATAGATCACCTAGATCCGACCCCCTGCCATGAGCAGGAACAGCTACCACCAGACCAGATTGCTCCAAGCCCCATCCGACCTACCCTTTGAGCACTCCCAGGGATGGGGCAGCCAGAACTTCCCTGCGCAGCCTGGGCCAGGGTCTCACCACCCTCACACTAAGTTATTTGTTCCTAGCGTCTAACCTAAATCTCCCCTTTTCCAGTTTTAATCCATTGCCCCTTGTTACTGAATCCCTGAGCTGGGAATGGCACTGGTCTGTCCCTGCCTGTAATCCCCCCACACCCCTCAGCTGTTTTTAATCTCTCTGTACAGACATGACCAGAACCCTTCCCTACAGCTCCAACAGTTTTCTCTGCAGCCTGGCCATGGTCATGCAGCTTAACTGCACCAGAGGTAGATCTTGGATCCTGGAAACACAGGATTCCTCTGGAGAGGGTAAAAGCTTATTCTAGCTGTTGTATCCTTGAACCAGGGAAGGTACAAGATGAATCTGTACCCACCACATGGACAACTGCTGTCCTTAAGGCCCTCCAGTGTGTTGGCAGGTAGCCCGAGCTTTTCATTTATCTGTCCATGTTGGGAAGCTTTGCAAAATGGACTGATGAAATTGAAGAGAAAGCAAGAATGGGATCATTTGGCTTTTCTGTGGTATTCCGAAATGTTAAGGTTCAAGGACTTACCTGTCCACCTGTTTTTCATGGGCTCATGAGAAAGCATCAAGCCAAGATGCTTGGTCACTGCCCTGAGCCTGGTCAGGAGGTCCCTTCACCAGGAAAAGCAGTCTGGAGGATCTCAGACACACCCTAAACAAAGGCTCTTCTGAAGGGGAAGGTGAACATCCAGCCTGAAACATCCAGGCCATTGTTTCCTTAGTCTTGGCATCACTTTATCTTTCAGCTGTCATTTCCAGCATTTCTTTGGAAAAGGTCAGGCATAGGACCCAGCTGATGAAGGCTCTGTGGCTGCTCTGCAGCACATGACTGGATGTCAGTATGTGATGGGACTTCAGATGTAGGTAAGGCCAGTGAGGAGGAGACCAGTCCCTTGGATCTGCTGAACTCTATTTGCAGTGGTGTGGGGCTGAGGGAAGTCCTCAGTGTTTTCCTTCAGAGGGGCTGCAGTCACTGAGGGCTGTGCAGAACAAGCAGGGATGTAATTTGAAAACTCAACTTGAAGGTTCCTCTGTACTTAGGAACTTTTTTTGAACCTTTCAGCACAGAAATCACAAAGCTGCCTTCTGGATTTCCTTGGCTAATAGCCAGGTTTAGTTTGAGAGGGAAGTTCCTGGTCTCTCTTCTCTTATTTTCCTGACCCAGGGAGGTATTTTTAAATGTTAGTGCCATGTCTCTTCTCTGGGCCTGAAGAGACTGGGTTTGATCTGTGCCTTCCAGTGCCACTGTGGCTGAGAAATTGGCTCTTGTGGCCTGGATGTTAAGGCAGGAGCTGCTTCTGAAACTGGTTTTAGCATTTTCTGAGAGTTAGTTAACAAGTCCTGTAGCAACATATTACTTGAATAGGCTTTGTTTGTTGTTCCTGAGAAGGGTCTCTTGATTAATTTCTCAGCGAACATCTCAGGTGAAATGCCATTCCAGCCCTTAGGCTGTCAGCTGAAGGGAGTTTCAGGATTTAGGAGAAAGTACATTAATTTATAGCATCAGGGTTTAATTCCTGTTGAACACAGGGCATTAGGCCTCTGATCTACTTCAGTAAGGCTATTTTTATGTTTTTAATACCCAAAATGGAAGATGCTGCTTCCTCGTTTTGGAGTACTGCTGCTGAAACAAGGTGAGGAAAGGTTATCCTCAAGTCTAGTTTAGAATATTCACTGAAAAGCAAAAGAAATTCCATCTGTTTTGCTTTTCAACTGATTCTTCTCATAGTCCCCTCTGGGGTGAAGTGAGTATGTGCCCATATTCCCTCTTCATTTTGCAAACCAGTGTGTTTATTTTTGCAGTGGTGCCCTATTAATACACCCACACTTCTTTTTGCTCTGGCTGGCTTTGCTATTCTCTCTCCAACTGCTTTTCAAATCAGGTGCCCAGAGGTGGTTTTTTTTGCCCTCCAGTGACGAGAGTTCTGGAGAACAGCAAAACTGAACAGGAAGAGTTGGCTTGGGGGGGAGTTGCTTCATAGCCTGTTTTGCAACTGCCTTGAACAAACCTGGCCTGATATGCAGTTACCATTTCAGTATGATTGAATGTGTTGAGGGAGGAGGGATAATTGGGTAAGGAGTTCTAGATGAGAGGCTGGAGTTCTGGGGTTGCTTTCTGCTGGGAATCTTTCCTTTAGTATTTGTGTTTTTGTAATAGAGATCTGATTGATGTTTCTGCAGCTACTGTTCCTCCTAGGCCTGGCTTCAGTTTGTACTTAGTTAAAATGAAATGACTGCAAATAGAACTGGAAAAGAACTTACCAGCTGGAACAAGGTGCAGGAATTCAGCTGTAGAGCCTGAGTCTCCTGCAGCTTCTCCGTGGTTCATCCTTCAGGTTGCAGCTGCGTTGGTCTTATTTTCTGAATTGTGGTGCTCAAGGTTCAGAACTTCAGTCCTTCCAGATAACAGACATGACAGGCACCTCCATTTACTTGGAAAACTCTTGTTTGGGGTCAACTTAAGTGACATTTGGAAACAAAGCCTGTGCTGGGGTTAGTCGTGATGAGAACCTCAGCACGGCAGAAATAACAGCACAGGATGTCAGGAACACCTGGGAGTGTCTGCCAGCCTTGTTAGAGTGGTGCCTGGTGAAACTCTGCTGTTGAAACTCACTCAGACTGACTATTGCTGCCAGAGGGATGAAACCACAGGTTATCCAGTGTTGGGAGGTGGCAGCCTGAGGAAGGATGCAGTGGGGGTTTCTCGGGATCCCTCCAAGTGTGCTGGTTCCACAGGACTGGGCAGAGGAGGCGCCTTGCTCGGAGTGTGCTACAGGAGTGTGTTTCCAAAACTCTGCTTTTTTGCTAGTGTGAGCATCACTTTGTCCAATCCCACCTGTATTTGTACCTTCTCCTGCCTCACAGGACTCCACCTCAGGGGTTTCAGCTGAAATAAATGGTTCCTGCTGCCACTTGCTTGTTTAATGCTTGTACGTATGTGGTTTCTGTCTCTGTATGATTTTACACCTTTCTGTTTACAGTTGTTTCAATACAAGATCTTGCCTTTAATATCTGGGAAATGGAAATGTTCTAGGCACAGAATTAAAACATTGTCACACCCTGTGAATACTTTCAGGCTATGGTAGTTTACCCATGAGAGTGGTCATGGGAGTGTCCTCTTGAAATCGGTTCTGCCTTTGGACCAATTCTGTGATGGTTTGACGTCCAAGTTTTGAATTCTCTACATCGTGATTCCACGTACAATTCAAACTGTGTAAACATTTGGAGGGGGTTTTAATACACTGGTTCATAGCTCTGATTGTAAATTAATCCAAGCAGTGTTGTCATTCAGAACTGAAATGTCAAGTTTTAGAAAATGCTGTTGGAAGAATGTCCTCCCTGGGTATGTTCCCTGCGGCTGAGCTTGTTGGGTGAAGCTCATTTACTTAATTACCTGATATCTGTTCGCTGCACATTAAGGTGTTCTGCAGTGAAAGGAAATGATTTTGTTCAGAGTTTTGAAATCCAAAGTGTCACTTAAACTGTCATGAAAATACCATTTTGTGACTTGGGTTGTTTATCTCACCGGTTATAGAACCCACTGCGTGAAGGAGGTGAAAAGATGAAATAATCTAATACTTGTCTTTTAACTTTCAGCTTTGTGTTATTCTTGGAAAGTTTCGCACCACTTGTGAATTCCTTGAACCTTGGCATTGGGAGCCCACTTCTGTTGGGCCCTCCTCCTTTACAGCTTGCACAAATTAAGACCCAGTTGGCTCTTCAGCAGTTGACCTCACTTGCCACCAGCAGCTCTGCACCCCCTCATGCTTGGTTCAACCAGGCATTGCTGAAAAGCACCATGTTTAGCCCTAGAGGAACTTTACCTCCGAGGCCGAGAGGACCTAATCCATCTGGCACAAAGCCCCCGGGATCCTTTCGGGGAGGAGGTGCAGGAGGTCTTCAGAGAAAGCCTGCAGCTGGGACACCTCAAGGAGCACCACAAAGATTTTCGGGACAGGAGTCGTTTCAGTGGACAGGTTCCCAGAGGATAAACGTTCGGGTAACTCTGCACAGGGCTGACCCCAGGCAGGTAAAGGAGAAGACCAACCTCCACCAGGAGCAGAAGAGTGAGCCTCACACGAGCTGCTGGGACAGCAATCCCCGCCCAGCTGTGACAACTGGACAGAAGTCATCTGCCTCTGCACGGATCCCGGAGCAGAATTCCAACGCCCAGAACCGCTACACCCCCGAAAGCGCTTCCAGCATCTTGGCAAGTTTTGGGCTGTCCAATGAAGACCTGGAGGAGCTGAGTCGCTATCCAGATGAACAGTTAACGCCCGAAAACATGCCCCTGATCTTGAGAGAAATCCGGATCCGTAAGATGGGCCATTCCTCCTCTCGTGTGCACCCCCAGAGCCGAGGGGAAGAGCCCGTTGGTGGCCCGAGCGGGGCAGCAGTCAAGAGTAAAGTGATTGATTACGGGCACGCCAGCAAATACGGTTACACGGAAGATCCTCTGGAAGTGCGTCCCTACAATCCCGAGGCGCTGCCTGCAGAGCCTCTGGAGCCACATGTCTATAATCCCGAAGCACCCAGTGGGGAGAACAGGGAGGACTTCCAACGAGAGCAGAACATGCCCATGAGTGTCTCCTCGTCGAGTGTGACCTGTAATCCGGTGTTTCCAGTTGAAGAGTTAATAAAGCCGACGGGGTTCCAGAGCGATTCCTCAAACCCTCCATCGTTCTTTCCAGCTGAGACTCCAGGAAAGGTGTCCGGATTGTGTGCGGCACCCTCTGGACTCACTGTGGTGACATCTGTCTCCCAGCCTGCAATACCTCTGGTCATGCCACCTATGGTGCCACCTGTCTCCCAGCCTGCAGTACCACCTGTGATGCCACCTATGGTGCCACCTGTGTCCCAACCTGCTGTCCCGCCAGTCATGCCACCTATGATGCCACCTGTGTCCCAGCCTGCAATCCCACCAGTCATGCCACCTGTGTTGCCACCTGTCTCCCAGCCTGCAGTGCCACCTGTCATGCCTCCCATGATGCCACCTATGATCACCCCCTTGGCTCCCATGCTGGCACCTGTCATGCTGACTTTTGTCCAGCAGTCGATGACCCAGCACGTGATGCCACCAATAAGCCACCCACCTTTTTCACCTGAACTCCTTGCAAAACTCAGCCAGCACGAAAGAAGTCAGCGTGAATCCGGGACAAGCCAGTCGGTTGCCCCCAGTGCCCCGGGGGCAGGACAGAAGCCCTTCCAGCCCAAGGCTGAGGGGCCCATTAAATCTCCTTTCGGGATCGTGAAGGCATCGTGGCTTCCTGCCTTTCTCCAAGCTGATTCTCAGAAGATACAAAGACTGCCCACCCCCTCAATGATGAATGACTACTATGCCACATCTCCAAGAATATTCCCACATATGTGTTCTCTGTGTAACATTGAATGCACTCATATGAAGGTGAGTGTCTTTCACAGCTTCTTGCATAGCCTTGTACTCGCCAACGTGTCTATAATCCCGAAGCACCCAGTGGGGAGAACAGGGAGGACTTCCAACGAGAGCAGAACATGCCCATGAGTGTCTCCTCGTCGAGTGTGACCTGTAATCCGGTGTTTCCAGTTGAAGAGTTAATAAAGCCGACGGGGTTCCAGAGCGATTCCTCAAACCCTCCATCGTTCTTTCCAGCTGAGACTCCAGGAAAGGTGTCCGGATTGTGTGCGGCACCCTCTGGACTCACTGTGGTGACATCTGTCTCCCAGCCTGCAATACCTCTGGTCATGCCACCTATGGTGCCACCTGTCTCCCAGCCTGCAGTACCACCTGTGATGCCACCTATGGTGCCACCTGTGTCCCAGCCTGCTGTCCCGCCAGTCATGCCACCTATGATGCCACCTGTGTCCCAGCCTGCAATCCCACCAGTCATGCCACCTGTGTTGCCACCTGTCTCCCAGCCTGCAGTGCCACCTGTCATGCCTCCCATGATGCCACCTATGATCACCCCCTTGGCTCCCATGCTGGCACCTGTCATGCTGACTTTTGTCCAGCAGTCGATGACCCAGCACGTGATGCCACCAATAAGCCACCCACCTTTTTCACCTGAACTCCTTGCAAAACTCAGCCAGCACGAAAGAAGTCAGCGTGAATCCGGGACAAGCCAGTCGGTTGCCCCCAGTGCCCCGGGGGCAGGACAGAAGCCCTTCCAGCCCAAGGCTGAGGGGCCCATTAAATCTCCTTTCGGGATCGTGAAGGCATCGTGGCTTCCTGCCTTTCTCCAAGCTGATTCTCAGAAGATACAAAGACTGCCCACCCCCTCAATGATGAATGACTACTATGCCACATCTCCAAGAATATTCCCACATATGTGTTCTCTGTGTAACATTGAATGCACTCATATGAAGGTGAGTGTCTTTCACAGCTTCTTGCATAGCCTTGTACTCGCCATCTTACCTGCTGCTCTGTTTTATCAACTCGGTTCTTTACTGTGCATTAAATGGACTGTGAGGCTGCTCTCCAGCCCCAGTGCTGCTGACGTGCAGATTTCAAAATGCTAGAGACAGTGCTAGTCCATTATTGTAACTGCTGCACAGCCTGTTCTGTTCCAGATGGCATCTCAGAGGTGCCACGTGCATTGCTTTATTACTATTTCTTTTAATATTAAAAGCTATTTGTGTCTTCTGCAACGGGTTTCAAATGCCAAAACAAACCCTTTGTCAGTGGGGTAAAATCCCTTATGTCATCTGGGTGACTCCAAATGTCTGCAGAAAATGATGGTGTGTTGCATCTCAGGAGGGTAGATGGGATGTTGGTGTATTCAACCCTGCAAAGTCTGCAGGAAAACAAAGCAGCCTATTGATCTGCAAAATAATTTAATCTTCCACATGTGGTCTGTGTGACAGTGACTGTTCCAGAGCCTGGAGACTGGCTCTGGGGCACAAGCAGAATGCTCCCATTCATCTGCCTGAGCTTCCAGCCATGAAGCACGTACCAGTTTCAGCTCTTGAAGGAAGAAAAGGCTGGATATGTCAAAATGCAAGAGAACGTAACTTAAAAAAAAATAATTGAATAATTTCTTGTTAGTTTCATGTGTTTGAATTTTAAATGGTCTTCACCAGACATGTGGGAGGCCTGCAGGAGAGGGGTTTTGGCAACTTTGGAAAATCCTGTGAAATTGCTGGCCCGTGTTGGTGCTGGGGTTAAAGAAGTGAATGAATAGTGAGGATGATGACAGCTGCACTAGGGGCTTCAGAATAAAACTGAGTTTTCAGGCACCTTTGCAAAAGGAAGCACCAAAGGCTGGGGGGAGGTGCAGCCATTTGGACAGGCTTGGAAACTTAAAGGGAAGTTTGCTTTAAAATAAAAGTGGAGTGGGGCTTTCTAGAATGAAGCAAATGTTTTTTTTGCTGAAAATGCTTCTTGACAAACGAGCTATGAAGCTTTTTAAGATGATGAAAGGTTGTAACTTCTTACCCTTAGGGCATGGAGTGTTCTCCAGGCATCCTGAGCCTTCTGCAGCTGCACAACCTTTTCTCCCTGTTGTGGCTGCTTCTGCCTCTGGTGTGTAGTAACTTTATTCTGAGCAGTGGTTTTTTGTTGTCTACGCCTGCTCTGCATAGGCAGTTCAGGCTGTTGGGAGGCCTCCTGGGCAAGCCACGGGCAGACAGCAGTCCTGCAAAGTAACCAGGAGAGTTAGATTTGTAGAAGGGAAGTTTTCTGAAAAAAATAAAAGCTTGTGTTAAGCAGTGTCAGTCTTGTGTGTGTGTGAGTTCTAAAGACTGAGGAGTTCCTTTTGGTTTTACAAATAAAGTGGGTGTTTTTGCCTCAGTTGCTTGGCTAAAGATGACCAAGACATGCAGGGTTTTGTCTTCAGAGGAGATGGGGAGATGGTGCAGCAGGTGCTGGTGGGCAGGAGTGGTGTGACCCGCACCAGGAAATGGGTCCCACATTGTTGTGAGATCTCAGTCAGTTATTTTTTCAGCTGAGTCAGGACAGAGTTTTGAGAAGCAGAGAAAGGAGGCTGGGTTAGAAACATGTGTCTGTAGTGGGGAAAATTGGGAAGAAAGTAGATGAGCAAAGTGGCAGACCTGAAACAAGGATGGATGGACACCATGGAAGATAGAGGAGCAGAAGCTTCTCTTTATCCAACACTTGAAGATACTGCCTGTGACAAACCAAAGGTTCAAAGATGTTAAAATGATGGGTTCCAGTTCAGAAGCTTCATGGTGATGAGCTGTCTTTTTTTCATAGATTCTTTTAATCCTGTTGTGAAGTACAGACCCATCTAGGACTCCTTCTTGTGCCAGGGTTGGAGCAGGAGCTGCATTCCCTGTTGGAAGAGAATTCAAGTGTGTTACCTGCTGTTAGTTTATTAAAACAACAGCACTGGGGCTGGACGTCGGACCCAACTGGTGCTCCTGGAGAGTCTGAAGCTACAGTGGCCATTATTGGCTAAAACTTCCTATTTCCATCCTCTGAACTGTATCTCCTGATGGTTTTCCATCTTGGCTCACCATCACTGCTGTGAGTTCTGGCTTGGAGTGAAGAATGCTGCTGCTGTTCTCCTGAGCGTTTGACCTGTTCTCCTGCAGGTCTTTCTTAAGAGTCTGAATTGCTTAATTGATGAGGTCTGATGAAGTGGAAGCTGGAGCTGGCCCTGAGCTGCCTGCACTTCACCAAATACAGAGCTCAAGTGTTGCAGCTCAGCAAGTAAATGTGTGTTCTGCTCCTGTAATCTGGAAAGAATCCTTCTACAGAACTCACTATGTATTTGAAGGTGTTTTTTTGCTACTGCACTGTTCAGAAGTCAAAACTCAGGGTGTTTTCCACCCTCATAGCCTGCCTCTTGTAGCTCTGTCCATGAAAAATACCTTTTTATTCTTTTTTAAAGCTTTGAAACTTTTTTATGAGGCAGATGGATGATCCTGGAATAGGTTGCCTGGGGAGATTGTGGAAGCCCCCTCCCTGGAGGTGTTCAGGGTCAGGTTGGATGAGGCTTGTGCAGCCTAGTCTGATGGGAGGTGTCCCTGCCCATGGCAGGGAGGTTGGAACCTGGTGATCTTTAAGGTACTTCCCAATCTTTACCATTCTGTGATCCTTGTGTGCAAGACTACATGGCACATCAGCAGCTGTGGAATGAGCTTCCCACCATCCAGGGCTGAATGGGAAGAGCACTCCAGCTGTTTCCTGCAGTGGCCTTTGGAAGACTCCAAAGTATTTCTCTGCCCATCAAGACTGTTCACTGGATATTTTAGGAGGAAATTCTGGGCTGTGAGTGTGGTGAGACCCTGGCCCAGGTTGTCCAGAGAAGCTGTGGCTGCCCCATCCCTGGCAGTGTTGAAGGGCATGTTGGATGGGGCTTGGAGCAACCTGGGCTGCTGGGAGGTGTCCCTGCCCATGCAGGGGCTGGGACTGGATGACTTTAAGGTCCCTTCCCACTCAAACCATTCTGTGGTTCTGTGATTCAGCAGTAGGTGGCAGAGACCTCAATTATTTGACAGTGCCTCCAGCCATCTCAGTTGGGTCTTTGGAGATGTTTGTGGAGAGGTGAGCTGGGAGAAGTGCTGTATTGTGAATCAACAGGGCAACTTCAGCCTTGGCTGGCCATGGTCCTCAGTCAGAGCTCAGTCAAGACCTTCTACCAGGCTGTTTGGCTGCAGAAAAGATTGTAGATTTGTGACAAACAATGGGTACCATGGACCTCAAAGCATCAGAAGTGTGCAAATTTTATTCTTTATCTTGTGTTAGGAAGGTTTCTGTAGTTTTGTCAGAGGGCTGTACTCCATTCTGTGTTGGAAGAGCTTTTCTTCATGAGAAAGGTGGGCTTTTTTGAGCTTCCAAAAGTTAATTTGGAAAATTAATTGACGCTAGGTGACTTGTTGATCTGGGAATTGTCCTCAGGAATTTGTACTTTTGTGTCCTGCAGTATTTGCTCAGGGAAGAGTGCTCAGTTCTGCCCTTAGCTAGATGGAACCTCACCCCAGCGTTGTCTTCTTTCAAATATATTTACAACCACCCCAATATATAAAATAATTTTATAAATATTTCACAGAGCAGGTTCATTTTCAGCTAGAAATTGTGGACATAGTGCAGTGATCAAGAGAGATTTCTCTTCAAACACGTCACTTTTGGAACAAAGTAGATTTCCAGTATTGCCAGAATGAGGGTGAATATGGTCCTTGTAAATACATCATCTAGTAAATATGATGTATTGCAATTTTTGTTGTCTAGTGTAAATAGATTTAATGTGAGGGTGATGTCATCCTGGGCTTTAAATTGCGTGAAGTTCTGGAGATCCCAAAACAAGAGGGACATGGAGCTGTTGGAGCAAGTCCAGAGGAGGCCACAGAGATGCTGGGAGGGCTGGAGCAGCTCTGCTCTGGAGCCAGGCTGGGAGAGTTGGGGTGTTCAGCCTGGAGAAGAGAAGGCTCCAGGGAGACCTGAGAGCACCTTCCAGTGCCTGAAGGGGCTCCAGGAAAGCTGGGGAGGGGCTTGGGACAAGGGCAGGGAGGGATGGGAGCAGGGGGAAGGATTAAAACTGGAAGAGGGGAGATTTAGGTTAGATATTAGGAAGGAATTACTTGCTGTGAAGGTGGTGAGATCCTGGCCCAGGTTGCCCAGAGAAGCTGTGGCTGCCCCATCCCTGGCAGTGTTGAACATGGCGTTGAGCAGCCTGGGCTGGTGGGAGGTGTCCCATGGCACAGGGTGGGGACTGGATGATCTTTAGGGTCCCTTCCCACCCAAACCGTTTCATGGTTCTGTGAAGTCAGATGGACTCATTGCTTCCTACAAAGACAGCCACGCTTACAGTTCCTTTGCTGAAGAACAGGGACAAAATGTGGGTCTGCTGCTTTTTACATTGATTTTTCTGTGTAATCGTTGCTGTGAAACGAGCACAGCCAAGAACAGGGACTGTCCCTGTGCCTTGGTACCCCTACTGATAACAGAAAGGTCCTGTGGGGGGAAGGATGGATCCGGCCTTAGGGACAGAGTCGCCAGATGCAGTGGAATATTTCTGAAGACTGAGAAGGAGGAGGGATTCATGGGAGAGAAGGAATATGCACAAATGGAGACTCCTGTGTGAAATGCAAGAGACATTGGCACAAGGAAGACTTGGAGAAGAATGTTGTGTTTGTTTGGGAGGAGAATGTCTCTTTGTGGGCCTGCCAGGCTTGCTGATGCTTGTTGGACCAGCAGCTGAAGACACGTGGAAGCCAACTGGCCCCCCTGGGCCCTCCCGGACACTGTGGGCACTTTCCTCCATCAGGACCACGGAAGCAGGATTCCTGAAGCCCAATTTCCTTTCATTTCCACAAGCTAATTTGTTTTACCCCTTGTTAACAGCTTTTCCTGTCTCACTCAAAGTCTCTGGATAAACAGCATTCCTAAGAATAGGAATGCTCAAGAAGGGCATGTCATTAGGGAAGAAATAGAGTGTACAGTGGGGAGTGTTGTGCCCCTGCCCTGTGTGTGGTGTGTGCTCACTGCGCCTGCAGCTCTACAGCTTGGGGGGTTCTCTGCTCAGCAGCTCCTGGGGTGATGTGGTTCAACCAGTGAGACCAAAACGAGGGGGCTTCTGAGTTGTTCTGGCTGCATCTGAGCACTTCAAATGTTGTTATTAACGCAGCTAGCAAGTCAAGTCAGTGCCTTTCTCAGAGTGGTTAACTGCTGCATCTGTGCCTTCAGGAAATGACAACAAATCTGGTGCCTCAAATGTGTTTTAATTCCTTTACCACCCACAGGTTTGGATGTGGAGGATGAATGATTGGGGTTTCCTGTCACACATTTTAGTGCTGAAAAGCTGACAGTCTGGGTGCTGTTTTCCCCACGTTCCCCGTGCTGCCCAAACACAGCAAACTGTGCCTGCTCACACTGACTCTGCTCCCTCACAGGCTGAGTTAAACCATCACGAGCGTCTCTTTGAACCAGCGTGCTCAGCAGTTTTCTCCATAAACAGGAGGCTTGGATGCTGCCAACCACGCACTGTGTAACCTTTTGTGTCATAACCCAGCATGTGCTTAGGAAAAGTGACATGTCATTTCACAGCCACAAATGATTTTATGCACCTTGCCTGTCACTGCATCGTTCAGCTGTTGTTGCCTATTTTAAAAGTACTAAAGCAGCTCCAGGTTGGTTTATTTGAAGATGCTTAATAGTGATTGTGAATGACCTGATGCCTTCCAGCTTCAGCCCATGCAGTGTCTCTTCTCAGCAGCAAACTGAGCCCAGCACTTGCTTTCACTAGCAGGTCTGTTTGCTTTGCCACTGGAATAAAGTCTCCAGGAATTATTTCCCAGGCTGAGGAGTGATTCTATGCTTTCAGTTCCACCTGTGCTGAAGTAATTGTGAAGACTTGAGGGCTTTGCATTGTGCTTCTGGGCTTTCCTCAGGAGTTGATCCTGGGTTAAACTTCTCCTAAGGTTGTTTTTTTTTAAACACTAAAAAAGTCACTGAGTGTGTGTGTGTGTGAAAAATTTCATCAGGCTTTTTGATTGACCTTTTGTTGTGATGTGAGGAGTGAGTGTGCTTGAGCTGAAGACCTGAAAAGGCAAGTACCAATGATGTTTGACTTGGGTTCCAAGTTGCCTGGGGCCCTCTGATGTATTTGGCTCAGTTTGTTCATCATCTGACAACCTGTGAAGCTCTAATGGTTTTTGTTTCTTTTAGTACAACCAGCTGTTGGATCAACCTTTTGACTGAGGAGTGTGGTGACACAACCCAGTGCCTCCTGGAAGCAACAGGGTCACTTAATACAATGCCTTTTATTCAGCTTCAGCTTAGGTTCTTTTGTGCTCTTTGGGCAACTAATGAGTGTTTTAGTCTTTTGCATAAAGAGTAATAATTCTGAGTGAAAAATTTGGCCTTGACACGAGATCATTCATTAGGTAAAATTTGATGGAAGGTAAAATAAAATTAGTGTGGTGAAACGCTGATTCTTCATGCTAATCAAGTTTCTTTGGATATCTTTTTCTCCACCCAGGACTGGATTCTGCACCAGAACACTCCTTCCCATATTGAAAGCTGCTGCCAGCTCCGGCAACAGTAAGAAGCCTGTTTAAAGAGTTCCCCTAGTGTGAAAAAAGTGGTGTCCGTGCATGTGTGTAGCCTGTGAAAGTCTGCCAGGTGTCCCCACGAGCCCTGCTGCTCTCTGAGCACTGTCTGAGCTGGCTTTAGACCATCAGGGGGAGAGATGAGCTGCCAGTGGGTGCCCCTGGGGTCCCAGAGGGGAGTGTTGGTCGGTAAAAGCTGCTGCAGGGAAGTGGGAATTGTGTTTGGGTGGTAAATGGGGCTTCTCACTGACTGGTGTGTTTCTGACATTTGACAGGTACCCTGACTGGAACCCTGAGTCTCATTCCTCCAAGAGGTAACTGCTTTGTGACTGCAAGTTGTTTTTAACTGGTTCCCATTCTAACCACGTGGTAATGAGTAATTAATGTTCCTGCTTTGCTCACTGGAGCCCTGTGAGTGCTGAGTTGTAAAATCACATGGGGTGTTTTTGTGGGTTTTGTCCCATGTGAGTGACAGTGTCTGAAATTCTCTCGCAAGGATGAGTCTGTAGAACAACTACTGCAGCCTCTGGCTTCCTCACAAGGGGAAGAGATGGGGCAGGTCCTGATCTCTTCATTCCCATGACCAATGACAGGACTTGGGGAAATGTCAGGAAGCTGAATCAGAGGAGGTTTGGCTTGGATATCAGGACAAAGTTTTTCACCCAGAGGGTGGTTGAGCACTGGAACCGGTTCCCCAGGGCAGTGGTCCCAGCACCAAGCCTGCCTGGGTTCAAGATGCATTTGGATGATGCTCTCAGGCACATGGTGTGACTCTTGGGGTGTCCTACACAGGGACAGGAGTTGAACTTGATGATCCTGATGTGTCCCTTTCAACTCAGTATATTCTGTGATTAAAAAAACCCCAAAAAAACAAAGTCTGAAGACTGACCCTGTGGGCAGCCTCCCCGTGGACCTCTCCTCTAGCCAGTCACCCTAAAGTAGTGGATGGGATATAATAATGACTGAGCAGGGCTGAGCAGTGTCAGGTCACTGATTAAACTGCTTTGACCGGATCTTGTGTCCAGAGAAGCCACCCTTGTTTGCAGCCTGCAACCTGTTGGACAGTAGGCGTGTCAGGGTCAGCTCTTCTCCAGCCTCCCCTGGGGACCTGTGTGAACACAGCTTGAACAAACACTGGAATTCCTGAACTCATGTCTCCTCTGGCCTTTACAACTATGCTGTTTACTGTTAATTATTTTTTTTTCAGAACACACCCTGTGGACAGTCTCAGCAGGATTTTAATTTACTGGCTCAATATTTGTACATTTTTTGGCTTCCATACAAGTAGGAATGATAGGACTTAATTTTTTCTAGATTCTCCTGTGACCTTGCTTTAATTAGTCTGACATGCTTCCTGGAAAGCTGCCTACTCAGTTAAAAAAAAAAAACTGGGGTCCCAGAGGGGAGTGTTGGTCGGTAAAAGCTGCTGCAGGGAAGTGGGAATTGTGTTTGGGTGGTAAATGGGGCTTCTCACTGACTGGTGTGTTTCTGACATTTGACAGGTACCCTGACTGGAACCCTGAGTCTCATTCCTCCAAGAGGTAACTGCTTTGTGACTGCAAGTTGTTTTTAACTGGTTCCCATTCTAACCACGTGGTAATGAGTAATTAATGTTCCTGCTTTGCTCACTGGAGCCCTGTGAGTGCTGAGTTGTAAAATCACATGGGGTGTTTTTGTGGGTTTTGTCCCATGTGAGTGACAGTGTCTGAAATTCTCTCGCAAGGATGAGTCTGTAGAACAACTACTGCAGCCTCTGGCTTCCTCACAAGGGGAAGAGATGGGGCAGGTCCTGATCTCTTCATTCCCATGACCAATGACAGGACTTGGGGAAATGTCAGGAAGCTGAATCAGAGGAGGTTTGGCTTGGATATCAGGACAAAGTTTTTCACCCAGAGGGTGGTTGAGCACTGGAACCGGTTCCCCAGGGCAGTGGTCCCAGCACCAAGCCTGCCTGGGTTCAAGATGCATTTGGATGATGCTCTCAGGCACATGGTGTGACTCTTGGGGTGTCCTACACAGGGACAGGAGTTGAACTTGATGATCCTGATGTGTCCCTTTCAACTCAGTATATTCTGTGATTAAAAAAACCCCAAAAAAACAAAGTCTGAAGACTGACCCTGTGGGCAGCCTCCCCGTGGACCTCTCCTCTAGCCAGTCACCCTAAAGTAGTGGATGGGATATAATAATGACTGAGCAGGGCTGAGCAGTGTCAGGTCACTGATTAAACTGCTTGAGTGATTTCTTTTTGACCTGATCTTGTGTCCAGAGAAGCCACCCTTGTTTGCAGCCTGCAACCTGTTGGACAGTAGGCGTGTCAGGGTCAGCTCTTCTCCAGCCTCCCCTGGGGACCTGTGTGAACACAGCTTGAACAAACACTGGAATTCCTGAACTCATGTCTCCTCTGGCCTTTACAACTGTGCTGTTTACTGTTAATTATTCTTTTTTCAGAACACACCCTGTGGACAGTCTCAGCAGGATTTTAATTTACTGGCTCAATATTTGTACATTTTTTGGCTTCCATACAAGTAGGAATGATAGGACTTAATTTTTTCTAGATTCTCCTGTGACCTTGCTTTAATTAGTCTGACATGCTTCCTGGAAAGCTGCCTACTCAGTTAAAAAAAAAAAAAGTGTTAAAAAGCTTAATATGTAGGTCAGGTTAATTTGTGGAGTTCATGTGAGGTGTCCTCATGTTAATCAACAAAAGAGGAAGAAAACATGAAGAGAATAATTACATTTGAAAACCTCAAATTGGAATTGTTGCCCACTGCTGCTGGGGTCATTCACAATCCAGGAAAATGAAGCTGCTCTTAGCTGAAGGAACTCAACAAACTGTTTAATAGCACCTCTTGTGAGTGAGGCATCTTCTGAGGCATCTTTTGTGCTTGCAGGTGGGGCAGGAGTTGGCTTTTAGGGTGGTGCTTTCTTCAATCCTTCCTGATGAGAGCACGTCTCCAGCTGGGAGGGTTACGATACAGCTCTTGGTGATCACTGATGTCCAGAGCTGCTGGTGCAGCCTTGGGGCAAGGTCCATGAGCTTCCTACAGACTGTTCCCACTCTGGGGAATCACTTCACAGGGTTTGCTTTCTGTCAACTGCCCTGGTTTGTTAACACAGGCAGACGTTTTTATTTGGCAGAGGAATAATGGGATTTGTATGGATTTTTAATGGTGTTTGAAACTTGCTAATGAAGTGACAAGATGAGACATTGCTACATGAGCTGGGTTGGGACATCATGTAGGAGTCCTGAGGGTTGCTGAGCTGTCCTCATCTAGCTGCTGGCCAAAAGTGAGGCAGCAGCTGCCTCTGGTGCTTGTCACCCCTTCTGTCTGCCAGGTGTTAGTCCTCTCTCCCTGGTTCCTCTCAGAGGAACTGAATCTATTCAGAGTCTCAGGCAGTAAGAATGTGGTGGTTCATTCAGTGCTTATGCCCTGGGTTCCCTTTAACAAACCTGCTTCACTCCTGTGATCTGGGCTGTCAGGGCTTCCCTCTGCCTGACTGTTCTCTAGGAGGGACTGTTTCTCTCATGGAGCCCTTCACTCTTCCTTCTTTCCATGTTCTTCATCAGTTGACATCTCTAAGTACCATAAGTCTGCAGTGGGTGTGTATTTATATAGTCCTCCCAAATGTCACAGTCTTTTAGACATGATGTCTCCATGTTTCTTACTTCCAAACTAAATTTGGAAGAAGCACAGAAAGTGTCTTAATTCATGACTCTTTCATGCATCCTTTCCCTATTATTTTTCTAGCTTGTAGCTTGTAACGTCCAAGTTTTCCTTGCAGTTTCCTCCTGTTCCATGCAGGTAGTTCTCTCCTTGTTTCTCTTCAGTTCTCTCTGCCTATCCTAAGTACATGCAGCAAACATGTTCCTGGGCTCTGAGGTGTGTTTGGGGATGAATTAGTGTCTAAACTTTGTCAATTTTGGTTCTTTTTTGAGGAAAGTCTGTTTCAACAGACTGGGGTTAATTAGAATCATAAAACATTTTGGGTGGGAAGGGACCTTAAAGGTCATCCAGTTCCACCCCTCTGCATGGGCAGGGACCCCTCCCACCAGCCCAGGCTGCTCCAAGCCCCATCCAACCTGCCCTTCAACACTGCCAGGGATGGGGCAGCCACAGCTTCCCTGGGCAACCTGGGCCAGGCTCTCCCCACCCTCACAGCACAGAATTTCTCCTTAATGTCTCACCTAAACCTCCCCTCTTCCAGTTTTAATCCATTCCACCTTGTCCTCTCAATACAAACCCTTGTCAAAAGTCCCTCCCCAACTTTCCTGGAGCCCCTTTCAGGTACTGGAAGGTGCTCTGAGGTCTCAAATAGAGTCAGGTTGGAAAAGACCTTCAAGATCATTGAATCCAACCATTATCCCTGCTCTCCCAAACCCAGCATCAAACCACGTCCCCAAGCACCACATGTAGGTGACTTTTAAGCGCGCCCCCCTGGAGCCTTCCCTCCTCCAGGCTGCTGATGCGTTTGTGCCTCACCAAAACTGATTTTATTTTTTTTATTCTTGCCTCGTTCCTGCCAGAAATGCTGGCGAGAGAAAAGAAAACCAGACCCCCAAGCGCCGCTCCAGCTCGGCCAGCCCCAGCCCCTGAGGCACAGGTCGAGGTCACCCCAACGATCCAGAAATCCCTTGAGGACTCATTCCAGGTCTCGGAGGTCTTCCAGTAACGACCGGTCGTCGAGGAGGCGGACACGATCTCAAGGTGAAGGGTGGATGCGAGCTGCCCTCTCTGGGCTGCTTGGGGGCTGAGGGGAACTGAGGGGGTGGCAGGAGGTTTGTCTGGGCAGGGGTCACCTGGGCTTGTTTGGTAGCAAAGTGCTCTTATTAAAACTGGGGTTGGTTTGGGGAGGAGGAGGCTGAGGGGAGACCTCGTTGCCTTCTGCATCTCCCTGTAAGGAGGGTGTAAAAAAAAAACATTGGCCTCTCCCAAGGGAGTGATGGTAAGACTAGAGGAATGGCCTGAAGTTGCACCAGGGGAGGGTTAGATTGGATATTGGGAGGAATTTCTACACTGAAAGAGTGATCAAACCCTGGAATAGCTGCCCAGGGAGGTGGTAAAGTTGTCATCCCTGGAGGGTTTCAAGAGACATGTAGGTCACAGAATCATCATGGTTGGGAAGGACCTCTAGGAAGATCATAGAGTCCAACCATCACCACAAAAATGCCCCCACAGCCTTGGCCACTAGAGCATGTCCTGAAGTTCCAAATCTACACAGTTCTTAGGTGTGGCACTTCAGGACACACTCTCATGGGCATGTGGTGCTGGTTTTCTGGGGGGTGGTGCTGGTTTTGTGGCTTTTCCTTCCCCCCCCTCCCCGGGTGGATGGTTGGACTCGGTGATCTTGAAGGTCTTTTCCAACTGTGGCAATTCTGTGATTCTGCAAAAACCACTTTTCCTTTTGCTGTTGCTTGTCATCCTTGGAAGAAAACAGGCATTCAGAAAGGCCTGATGTTTTCCTTACCTAGTGTTGGGAATTGGTTGATGCTCTCAAACAATTGCTGAACGAGTATCTGTGCCAAGTGTGTTTAGTTTCTAAGGCAGCAAAGACAGTCAGATGTTGATAACAGCTGAAGGTTCTTCCTTCAGCATCAGAAAAATAGTTGTGTGAGGCAGGGTGGATGAGGAGAGGGAAAATGTGGTGCTCAGGAATGGCACTGAACAGAGCTACAGCTTCCAGGGGAAGTGTAGTGCCCAGGAATGGTTCTTTTGGGATAGGAACGTGGTGTGGGAAGGACTTGGAATGAAACATCCTTCAGCAGTCACATTCCTGGCACCATTCGGGGACTCTCCACTCAGCTCCTTCCCCCACTTTGTTGTTGTGAACTGTCAGTTCCCTGCAGTTCATTTTGGGCTCAGGCTCTGGCTGAAGTGCAGCTTTGTTTGGAGTCTTTGTTTCTTTTTCAATTCTGAAGAGCAAAAAGAAACATTGAGTGATTTGATAAGGTTGTTTCTTTTCCTGGTGTGCTGTGGCTGTGCTGCCAGGAATCCCAGAGGTGGGAAGGAAGAGTAGGTGAGAAGCTGTGGAGGGACAGGGCTCTGAAGGGTGAAGTGCAGAGGCCATTTTAGTGCAGAAGAATGAGGGGAAAGAAGCAATTAATAACCACAACCCAGATTTCCCACAGAAAGGAATCAGACTGGGAACTAAGGTTAAAGAATAATTTAAAACATGAGTCTGTAGGGCAGAGAGCAAGACAGAAGGACACAGAATTTAGCAGAAGGCATCAAGATAGTAAGTACTGCTGTGCAGTGGTGGGTGAGAGGAGGATCAGAGCTTTGGAAACATCTATTTTTTGTATTCCCTGACATAAAAAATTAAATAATCATTCTGTGGCTGCAGCCTCAGGATTTTGATAGGTCTGACTGCCAGTGTCACGTTGTCAGTCTGAACTAAAAATGCCAAGTTACACAACAGGGCAGTGGAAATAGCACAGAGGTTCGTTATTATTTATAGGCTGTCTCTGACAGAGTGTGATTGAGGTTCTCTGACTTCAGCTCAAGATGGAATCAGGAGTGGGTGGTGAAATTGAAACTGTAGCAAACCCAGCAGCAACATGTGTGAGTTTGTGATTAAAAACAACAATTCAACCCCGGTTTGTTTTCCCTTCTCACAGACAGAAAGTCAGCTCTGGAGGAAGTAGTGAAAAGTTTGGGGCCTGGCTTTGTAGCAGAGTACAATAAACATAAGTCCCTCCAAGCATCTGGGCAGGGATCCTCGGGGTTGGCAAAGTCCTCACCCTCCCATGGAACCTCAGGGAAGAAGTCTGGGAATGTGAAGAAGCCACCCAAAACAAGTGGTTCTCTGAAGGCTTCCAAGAAAGAAGTGCCTTCCGGGTCTGGGTCAAGTTCATCTCCTGGAACTGATGATTTACCCCAAAGCAAAGAAACAGAAGAGAGTAAAGGAGGTTCACCCACAGAGCCCAGTGCCCCTCGACCTGTTCCCTACAATAGGGTGAGTTTCTTCATGTTTGGGGTTGTTTTTTCCTTATAATCCAGGTTGTATTTTATTTATGGTAGGTGGTCCTTGTAGTTTTGGGCCTCTAGGTGACCAGTACAGAAAACGTTGCCTGGTAGTGGTGAGAGCTGAGAGACAGTGTTGAAAGGGGTGGGATTGGGCAGTTCCTCCCCCACACAGCCCAGGGAGGTGGGATCCTGTGGATCTACAGTACTTAATGAAGGTGGTGGTGTGCTCCTTGGCAAGCCCATGCCATGTCTGCTGATAACAGGAGAGCAGGGCAACAACGTTGTGCTTCTGTGCTGGTGTTAAAAAGCACAAACTCAGAACCCCCCGTGAACCAAGCACTGCCTGCTTTGGAGTAATTTTGCTTGCCAATTCCTTTTTTATTCTTTTTTACTGCACTTGGAAAGTGTTTATTTTCCTTTTGTTCTCAATTTGTAGCTGTTGAGAAAGGAATTGCTCTCTTGTGGGACAGTCCTTCAAATAACTGGCCTCCCAGATGATGGCTTTTCAGATCAAGATATTAAAAAGATTGTTCAGCCATTTGGCAAAGTCAGTGATTTCCTGGTACTTCGCTCCAAAAACATGGTGAGTTTTGTTTTCCTGTGGGAAGTTTTTGTGTCAGAATGCAAAGGGAATGGTCAGGCAGTGAAGAAGTGGAATATTTGGGTCCTCAGCCAGACCAAGGATGAGGCTTCCCAAAGTGTGTGTCAGTCATATGTCATCCTGGCATGGCTGGGAATTTATACATTTATATAGATATATAAAAATTCAGTCTTGCTTCCTGCCCAAGTCTTAAATGTTAGAGGAAGTGGCCTCTTTGGGTGGCCTCCTATGGCAAGGCTGCAGGGGTGGTGGGTAGTGGCAAGAGCAACTGATGGCATCTGCCTGGCTTTGTGCAAGGCATTTGACACTGTCCCACCTGACATCCTGGTCTCCAAACTGACATGACATGGGTTGGCCAGATGGACCACTTGGTGGATCAGTATTTGGCTGGATGGCCCCAGCCAGAGAGAGTGGTGGTCAATAGTTCAGTGTCCCAGTGGAGGCAGGTGACAGTGATGTTCCTCAGGTGTCAGTACTGGCACCAGTGCTGTTCAACATCTTTGTTGGAGACATGGACAGTGGGATTGAGTGTCTCGTCAGCAAGTTTGCTGATGATACCAAGCTGTGTGTGGTGTGGTTGACACCCTAGAGGGAAGGGATATCATCCAGAGGGACCTTGACAGGCTGGACAGGTGGGCCAGTGCCAGCCTCATGAAGTTCAACAAGGCCAAGTGCAGGGTCCTGCCCTTGGGTTGGCTCAACCCCAGGAACAAATCCAGGCTGGGGGAAGAATGGCTGGAGAGCAGTCCTGAGGGAATGGACTTAGGGGTGGTAGGTGATGAGAAGCTGGACATGAGCTGCCAGTGTGTGCTCCCAGCCCAGAGGGGCAGCTGTGGCCTGGGCTGCATCAAAGGATGTGTGTGCAGCAGGGCTAGGGAGGGGATTCTGCCCCTCTACTCTGCTGTGGTGAGACCCCACCTGGAGTGCTGTGTCCAGCTCTGGAGCCCTCAGCACAGGAGAGACATGGAGCTGTTGAGGGGCCAGAGGAGGCCACAGAAATAATGGAAGGGCTGGAGCACCTCTGCCCTGGAGACAGTCTCAGGGAATTTGGAGTGTTCACTCTGGAGAAGGCTCCAGGGAGACTTTAGAGCAGCTTCCACTGCCTGAAGGGGCTTCAGGACAGCTGGGGAGGGGCTTGGGACAAGGGCAGGGAGGGATGGGAGCAGGGGGAAGGGTTTCCAGCTGGCAGAGGGAGCTGGAGCTGAGATGGGAGGGAGAAATTCTGTGCTGTGAGGGTGGGGAGAGCCTGGCCCAGGTTGCCCAGGGAAGCTGTGGCTGCCCCATCCCTGGCAGTGTTGAAGGGCAGGCTGGATGGGGCTTGGAGCAGCCTGGGCTGCTGGGAGGTGTCCCTGCCCATGCAGGGGGGTTGGAACCTGATGCTCTTTAAGGTCCCTTCCAACCTTCACCATCCTCTGATCCTGAGCAGGACGCCTTTTGCCTCATACTGAAATCCAGACTTTGAAGTCAAACCCCAGAGCAACTTGGAGAGACAAGCACATGCAGTTCTGTCCTGAGCTGATTTTCCAAAGGCAAACAATTGCAGCACAAGGTGTCTGAGATCCAGGTAGAGCCTGAAAGTGCCATTTCTTTCAGGCCTTCTTGGAGATGAACTACAAAGAAGCTGTGGTAGCAGCTGTGAAATACGGGAAGACGGCACCAGTGCTGATCAATGGGAAGCAGGTGAAGATTAGTGTGGCAGAGAAGCCAAAAGTATCTTCTGGCCAGGTGAGCAGCCCGGGGGTGAACATCACCATGCTTTGTGTGGAGCTGGCTGGTTTTGCCCCAAAACTTGATGTACTCCAGAAGAACAGGTTTCATATTTTCAGTACACTTTTTTTTTTTTTTTTAGTCCTTTTCATCAACATCAGTCTAAAAGGAGTGTGAAAATGCCCTTCCTAATTCCTGTCTGCTGGTTTTCTTGGTAAAAATCTTATAGCTGTGAATAGCAGCAGTTTAATAAACAGTGAAAGACAGCTCCTATGTTAATATCTCTACTTAATTAATACTATTTATAGAAACACACACACTTGTATATAAATTGTACAGTAAAAACTGCTCTTTCTGTCCATTTCAGGCCAAAACAAGCATCAAAAAAAAGGCTCAGAGTATTAAAAAGGTTGCACCAACTATAAAGTAAGTGTTGCCATCCCACACAGCAGTGTTAGTGCTAACCAGTGCAAACCAAACAACTTCATCTTGGTTTGGTTTCCTGGGTTTTCCTCTTGTTTGAGCTTTTTAACTGGTCTGATATTCAAAAGTTGTCTTGAAATTGATTTTTCTTGTTTTTTCCTCTCTTGCTCATAATAGAAAAGAGAAGAAAACCACCAGCAAGACAAGTAAACCCATTGCAGGTGAGGAGCTGGTTACCTTTTACCTGGTGATACCTCTGCTATTGCCTTCCCTCTTCATTCCTGTAATGAAGACACTGGGAGTAACAGCTGTGTCACTCCCTGTTGCTTGTTGGAATTGCTCCCATGAGGGGTTTTTCTGGGCAAAGTTAGGGGCCAGCCATTATTTTGGTGGGAAAATGGCCTTTTTAAAGGTATTGGTCTTCATTAAGTCATCAACATGGTCATTTTTGGATTCAGTTTCCAGAGTGGAGTTACAATTCATGTGACAGAGCATTTCACATGGAAACTCTGGAATGTTTACAGTCCCTTAAGAAAAATCACACTTTTTGGCAGGAGCAAGTTTTTTGTCCCCAGAATCCCAAACCAATGCACAGAAGATGCTCTCTGCTTCATGGCTTTCAGTCACTAGTTTGTTGGGGTTCACTTAGGTTTGTTTTAGGGGTTTTTTTGGTCCTATCCGTTGAATTTTTGCAGATTTAGCTATTCTTGTGTGTATTTTTTTACTCTACACTTCACAAATGTAAGACTGAAGAGGGAAGCATTTCTACTGACTGTTGGGTGTGACTGTTTTACATAGGTAAAAAGGAGAAGACTAAGAGACCAACAAAGACAGGAGTTAGCAAACCCAAGAAGACTTCAAGTACTGCAGGTCAGACAAATGACAACTTTTTCTTTTTACTCAGATAACACAGGCAGGTGCTTTTCTGTGTGTGTTCCCCCTTCCCAATAGGTAGTTACAGAATCATGGAATCACAGGCTGGTTTGGGAGGGCAGGGACCTTAAAGCACATCTAGTCCCATCCCTGCATGGGCAGGGACACCTCCCAGCAGCCCAGGCTGCTCCAAGCCCCATCCAACCTGCCCTTCAACACTGCCAGGGATGGGGCAGCCACAGCTTCCCTGGGCAACCTGGGCCAGGCTCTCACCACCCTCACAGCACAGAATTTCTCCCTCCCATCTCAGCTCCAGCTCCCTCTGCCAGCTGGAAACCCTTCCCCCTGCTCCCATCCCTCCCTGCCCTTGTCCCAAGCCCCTCCCCAGCTTTCCTAGAGCCCCTTCAGGCAGTGGAAGGTGCTCTAAGGTCTCCCTGGAGCCTTCTCCAGGCAAAAGTGGCAAGTCCAAATGTTCCCCCCTTTACAGGGCTCCCCAGCACTGCAGGGTCAGGCAGGTGCCCTCTGGCTCTGGGGCTCAGCTGGTGCAGCAGCTTTAGTGCTGCTTGGAGCTCTGAGCAGCACAGGAGGGATGGGAGCTGGGCTGGGGAGCAGACAGAGCCTTTCCTGTTCCCACAGGCAGACACATGTTTTCCAAAGCTTTCCTGTCTGCCCATTTCCCACCCGTTTGTAACCAGGAGCAGGAATTGCTGGGAGAGGAGGCATCTGAGGCAGAAAAGCATATAGTGCAGTTCTTCTTTTGCAGGTCAGTTTAATATATTGAATATATTTTTTTCCCCAGCAGCAAAGCCTGTAGCTGCAGAACTTCAGACCTCAGCAGAAGCTGAAATGGAAGTTGGGGACACAAAACTGCCAGACCCAAAGAATGTCCCAGAAGGGGACAGAGTTCCTGTGTCTGTGAAGACAGAAGAGGCTGAGCCTGAACATGAGACTAAACCCCCAGCTCCACTGGGTAATTCTGACACCATCAGCCCATTTGTCAGTTACTTTGCTTGTTGTAAGTTTTGTGAAGCTTTAACATGGTGAAGTGAAATGTATTTATTTATTGAAACTTGCAGAGGTGCCTCAGGTGGCAGCACAGGATGTGGATGGGTTGAATCAGCCTTTAACTGATCAAGGTAAATTGCAAACTGACAGGGTTTGGTTTTTCTCCTTTCTGTCCTAAATCTCTGTGCTCTTGTCAAGTGAATGAGGGTGCCTTTGAGGCCAGGAAGTGCAAATCATAGAATCATGGATAAATGATGCAGGATATCAGAACAGAAATCTATTAGAATAGATTCACTGACTGAAACCTAAAACAACAGCTCATCCTGATGACTGAAGGGGCTAAAACCCTCCAAGATTCACATCTTTCAGTGGACATAATATTTTTACCTCCACCTGCTCAGTGTGACATGGGGACTTGTAGTTACAGCTCATGAGAGCAAAGGGCTGTGTGTTCTGATTACAACTCCACCACCCATTCCTTTGATCTCTATGCTTTACATTTCCTGTAAGAGCTGGTTTAGTAGATGCTGTTTTCCCCATTTTTTTGTGACTAATGACAAACAGACACTGTTCTAGACACAGCTTAAGTGCATATTAACTCTATTACTGTGCACATGACACTGAGGCTATGGCAGGGCTGAAGCTGTTGAACCCATTATGGGTGCAGATACACATTTACCAGCTGAAGTGGCTCTCCCTGCACCTGTGCCTGCCTGCCCTGTGGGATTGCTGTTTTCCTCTCTCCTGCTCTCCACATTTTTCTGAGCCTCTCTCATTCCACTGTGGACTTGTCCCAGGAAAAAGAGAGAAGCAGCAAGGTGGTGTGGGCTCCAGTCCCTGTGTGCCCACAGAGAGGCTTGAGGTTCTGATTATTCAGCTGACCAGGCTTTAATGTCACCAGAGTGTTTACATGTTAATTAAGGGATTTTAATATTTTTTTTTAATCCTTACTTAACCCCTTTGTGCCTGGAAGCCTGTATATAACACTGCACGTGTCCCACCACAGTCATTTGTCAGGGCAAGTTAAGGAATATTTCATTTTCACAGTGACAGTAACAAAATGTAGAGCAGGAGAGTGTGAAAGCTCTGCAGTGTGTGAGGAAATCTACTGAACTACCCCATCTCTTTTTGTTGTTTTTTTTTAAAGCTACCAAAGTGACCTCAAAGAGTGAAGAGCCACCAGAACCAGCCAACAAGGTCAGTCTGAAGGTGTTTGGATCTCTGGAAGCTCTCAGTGCACATCTGGGGCTGATTTCCAACCTCTGGCTTAAACCCCTTGCCTGTTAATTGCTTTTGAGAAGCAGTGAACAGTTCATTTTCTCCTTGCTGGCTGTGGTTTGATAGGTGTGTCTGCCTCTTCCCTCTCCTGGCATCATTTTTCCCCCCGAGTTGGTTCCCTGCACCAGCTCCTCTGGCTGTGCTGATCTGTGTTGCCCTCCTGTGGGCTGCTGCTCTGGAGCTGCAGTGTCTGCACAGGCAGTGCCTGAAGCAGGGGCAGCATTTTGGGGGGGTTTGGGCTGAATTTGTGATGAGGCAGGGTGAGACGACCTGAGGTTTGTGCAGGATTAACTTCATGTAGGTCTATCCACAATGAAGCAGTCATGAAGGTGAGTACATGACATCAGCAGAGAA